ATGCTAAGCAGGTGTTCTACCACTACGGTCCTTCTCCAAGTTAACTTGCCCAATTGGTTTCCGCGGGACCCAATTTCAGCTAACTTGTCTGAAGCCAACCTCCTGAATGTAGTACACAGAGTTATCAGGTTCTGGGTTTGACCCAGAGGTTCGGGGGTTTCATGCCACACAGGTGGAAGGGATATGAAATAGACTGGAAGACCTCTTACATCTGCACTCCTAATCACAGTTATCTGGGAGTAAGCTCCCGTGGGCTGCATCCAACATTCTCTTGTGCTAGCAGACAGGTGAGTCTTAATGTTGAGCAACAGAAGACTCCAACGCAACAGCTGCAGAAGCAGAAACTCTCTGCACTGATTGCTGATTGCAAAAACTATCGTGCAACCACCTGATGCATTCCCTTGTGCAACCACGTTCCTCTGGTGCAAAACATTTTGCCCACGAAGCAAGGATACTGCCAAGTGACTTTCACTTTCGAGCCACGTTGAATATAACCCACTGAAATCAAGAGGGCTTACTTCTGAGTAAGTGCTGTAAGTTATTACTGGCTTTTGTGTCTCCTGAATCTTCTGTTGGCTCGCGAAATGTATCAAAACACATTTCTAAAATATGTATGAAAATACCTATTTCAATGTGAATTTTTGTGCAGTTAAAAAACAACAACAGATGAATGTGGAAATGGGATTGGATGGATTTATGCACGCATGCAAAATGAAATGGACCAGATCTAGATTTGATTTGTGACCCCAGGCTTAGTAATCTGCTCTTGAATAGATTTTAGTCTTCGGAAGCTCAGGGCTCATTCAAACTTGCCCTTGCACCCAATCTTTACAGCTGAATCAGAGCAAACTTCAATTGGGGTTTCTCCGGATGGCTGTTTGCGCTGATTTATTGCTAAAGAGCTGGTTTCCCTAGGGAAAGTGGCAGGACAAGGGCAAAACCACTCGGATCTGTGCCTAGAAGGGATAAGTGGAAACCCAAAGGCATGTAGAAGTTCACACATGCAGAATATGTAGCAAAACAAACTAAGGGGTCAACCCCCTCCCAAGAAGAGTCCAATGGAGACTGAGCATGCCAGTGGGCATGGAAATCTGTCAGGGCCCCCATCTGCACTACACATTTAAAGCAGTTTTACACCCCTGTAAACAGTCACAGATGCTCCCAAAGGACTGCTAGAAGACCCTTATTTCCCTCACATAGCTATAATTTCCAGAGGTCCCTTAGGAAGAGGAGTTGATTGCTAAATCTCTCTGGAAACTATAGTTGTGTGAGCAGAATGGGGTGACCTCCAAACATTTCTCAGCACACTTAACAGGCTACTATTCCTAGGAAGGGACGTGGGTGGCACTGTGGGTTAAACCACAGAGCCTAGGGCTTGCCGATCAGAAGGTTGGTGGTTTGAATCCCCGCGACGGGGTGAGCTCCCGTTGCTCGGTCCCTGCTCCTGCCAACCTAGCAGTTCGAAAGCACGTCAAAGTGCAAGTAGATAAATAGGTACCACTCTGGCGGGAAGGTAAACGGTGTTTCCGTGCGCTGCTCTGGTTTGCCAGAAGCGGCTTAGTCATGCTGGCCACATGACCTGGAAGCTGTACTCCGGCTCCCTCAGCCAATAAAGCGAGATGAGCGCCGCAACCCCAGAGTCGGCCACGACTGGACCTAATGGTCAGGGGTCCCCTTACCCTTACCTTATTCCTAGGAATCTTTGGGGGAAGTGGTACGATACTGCTTTAAATGTACTGTATTTTTCCGTCTATAAGACACCCCCATGTATAAGACCCCCCTCTATTTTGGGGGATTCAATTTTAAGAAAATGAGGGGAGAGGGCCCAAAGTTGTTGAGCTTCTCCTCCCATGCAGCTGCGGGCAGGGAACACTCCCTACATTGTTTCCTGCACGCAGAGGCATTAGGGGAATTTGCGCTCCCACCAACCGGCTGGCTGGCAGGTGCACACCGCTTCTCCCCCCCCCCCCCATGCCACTATCCATGTATTGGACGACCCCAGTTTTTTGACATGATTTTTGAGTCAAAAAACCTCATCCAATACACGAAAAAATACGGCATATCGTGCAGCTGATTCTCAGTGGCAGGGGAGGAAAGATAACGAATGGAGTATCCTGGAAAAAGGCATTGCTGAATGGCTGGAATCCTAAAAAGAAGATCGTTTTCTACTGCAACATTTTGCTGCAGGCCCCACTTGCGTTCCTATTATTTCATTCATTCACGACCTCTCTCTCCCACATTTGCTCTGCGGGTACATCGTAAGAGCACTTTGGATCACTGCCTTGAATAAGCACAACGTCACTATGGAAGCAGATGAGCAAAACTTGTCGGGCCGCTTACACACCATACATGTTAAGCACCTCCCCACCCACCCTAAGAATCCTGGGAACTGTGGTTTGCTAAGGGAGCTGGGAGTTGTAGCTTTGCGAGGTGTGAACTATAATTCCGAGGATTCTTTGTGGAGAGCAAATGTGATTTCAGTGCATGGTGTGTATGTAGCCAAGCATATGAGCATGGACACGGACAGATGCGTATTTTTAGACCTCAGTGGCTTTCCCAGAACTCCTTAATTTCTGAATTCCTGAATTCCAAGCCATACCCTTTCAACCATCTTGATTGTCATTCTGCCTCAAAAGGTAAAGCGATCTGGCGACGAGAATTTGGAACCAAACCTCTCCGTCTCAGAACTCCATGGAAGATGGCGGAGTTCTGGCCTAGACTGAGGTTGGTTGATTTCGCCCCGTTCACTCCACTTCAGTGAACAGGTTGCTGTGCAATTTTTTTGTCTCTTCCTATACATGGCTGCATTGCAGGGGGTTGGACTAGATGGCCCTCGGGTCCCTTCCAATTCTACAGACCTATGATTCTATGCGTGCATATCCAACACCCCCCTCATCATTATGCTGGATAGGCTTTCAGCACCCTAACTTGGAGGCCAACCAAGGTTGGAAAAATCCCCAGTCCTTCATGATTTGGGTCCCCAAACATATTTTTGAAAGACAAAAACCAAAAACCTGAATTATTCCTCTTGGGCAGGTAATACTCAAATTATTGGAGCAGGAGACAGGAATGCACAAGCTCCGCAGTCAACTAAATTCTACTCGGAGTAGAGCCATTACAATTTAAAGTTAATTACACCCATTCATTTCAATGGATCTGCTCTGAGTACGACTAATGTTAGATGCTCCTGCTGGCTCCCCTTCAGTTTTACCCAAATCATGGTCCTCTTGTGGTCATCTAGAAATAGTCACCAAAGGCCCCTCTATCATACGAGCACTGAGTAGATACTTTAAATTGAGCTCTTAGTATTGTGATGTTAGAACCTAGGAACTGGAATGCATAGATACATACCCCTGTGTTTATGATTCAGCTTTTGCCCAAGACAAACATTTGTCCAAATTCAAAACTTGGCCAAAAAAGAAAAAAAAAAAGGGGGGGGGAGAACCCAGAATTTAAGTTTGGCTTGAAATTCAGATTTCACTTTCAAAATCTCCCCATTTAACACTGGGTGTGCCTAGGAATTGGACGCATCTTCCCTGCCTGCAGAGTGCAAAAGCAAAGAGAGAAAAAGAGGAAGACCGCAGATGGGGAACCAGTGGCCGTCCAGATGTTCAGCTCCTATAATCCCCAGTTGATGATCAGGGAGTTGTAGTGCAGCAACATCTGGAGGGACACAGGGTTCTCAGCCTTGCAGGAGAGACTTAAGACTTAGGACTAATCTACACTGGTGAGTTATAACGTTAAAAATGTGTTATAAAAATGTGACACCAGAGGGCGCCATAGAGCAGCGAATGTTCGCCAATGGGAAATTGCATTGGGAGCTATATTTTCAACAGTGTTTTTTATAGTGTTTTCCAGATCAGTGTAGACCCAGCCTTAGTTAAATCCCTCCCCAAATACCTCTGAGGATGGATGCCTGCTATCGCACCCTGTACTGCACTATGCCCATTGCTACTTGCATTATGGGGGGGCCAGGGAGATAGAGGACATAACCCCCTTGGGCAGAACACCCCTCACAATTTTAGAGAAAGCCTCCCCTGTAGCTACCAAAAAATAGCCAAGGAGGCAGTCACAGAAGATCAGTGGGCTAAAATCTCTCTGGCAGCCCTGTAAGTTAAGCCTGGGTATCCATCACAAATACTTTCCAGGATTTCAACTCTGGTATTATACTGTTCTCCTATACTTAAGCAGAACAATGGTCACCATTCATGTTTATGTTTTCTAGTGTTGCACTTTGTTGTCCAACCCCTCGTCGTGCGACCCCCCAAAGGAGGTGGATTGAATGCTACTTTCTTAAAAGAATACCCTGCTCTAGATACTCCCCCAAAACCCGCTCCCCCCCAGCACATCCCATCAAAGTCCCCTCCCCAAACACTCTCCCATAACCAGCCTCTGAGGCCACCTTCTCTTTGAGCCAAAGGTATCGCAACTAGTGCTGAAACGGAAAATAAAACCACACCCATTTAAGATGGGATGAATCGTACACATTCAGAAGAGTCAAAAACCCAGCTGCCAGCACTGAAGCATCAGTTTTTGCCGCTGACGCCGAGATTTCAGACAGCAGGCTTTCGAAGCTGATGTCAGAATTCAAAACGGGAAAACTAAAAAAGCAAACAAACGCAAAAAGCTGTTAATCTGAAGGCACGGAAACTTCAGGTTCAGTTCCTCGATCCACTTTGCCGATACGTTGTGCAGTGCTTGTTGAGTGGTGTGGCGGCAAACGGCTTGCTACATTCACTGCGGCTCCGACCGCAACGTTCAAAACCACTCCGGCCTTGGCAGTTCCGCTGTTGTGGATGCCATTCCCAACTTGGTAGACAAAATGGCGGCACCTACGAGGCCCCACAGCACTTCCCCTGGAGACTACCTCTAATTTAGGGATGTAATTGAAAAGATTGGCCCCCCCTCCCCAGTGTGACCTCTTAAGAAAAGCGATTTCAAAATGGCTGCATGTGTTTCCCCCCTTTTCGATCATATCTCTCTCGCTTGCCTGCCCCCTTTTAGTCAACATCTTTCGAAGTTTGGGGGTTGGGGCTGCTTCGCTTGCGCTGCTCCCCTTTGGAAGACGGCCGCAGCTTGCCCAAAGTCCTGGTGCCTCCGGAAGCTTCCGTTGGCTCCGAGGAGGCCTGCCGGGCGGACGACCTCAGCCGGCTGCCCTTGGGGTCGCTTTGGTCGGCGCCCACCTTGGCGGACAAGGCCGAGGCTTTGTGATGCTCCGCTCTCTGGCGGTGAGGCGGTGTGTGGTGCCGTTTCATGTACAGGAAAAGTGCCGGGTCGGGCATGGGCTCGACGTCTTCGAAGCTGCTCAGCCGGTCGCGAGGCGGAGGCTCCTTGAAGGCCCCCCTGCTGTGGAAGTTGCTGGAAGCCTGCCGACGAGTGTGGGACTTCTGCGTCCGTTTCTTGGGCCTCACCTCGCCGCAGGGCGGAGGGAGGAAAGGTTTCTCAGGGGGCATCTCGGGCAGGGCCTTCCCACTCTGCCGGGAACTGTGGAGCTTCTGTTTGGTGGCGTGGAGCTGGAAGGAGAGGTAGGCAGCCGCCTCCGTCTGCTTCTGAAGCTCTGTGTTGAGGATGGTCACCCGGTGGCTCCTCCTCTTCAGCTCCTCCAGGAACTTCCTCTCTTTGTTCCTCAGGTTGGAGCGGAGGGCAGCCACCAAGCTCTCCTTGTGCCTCAACTCCTTGCGCAGTTCCACGTTGTTCATCTCCTTCTCCTGCAGCTGGGCTTCCATGATCTTGCACTTCTCCTCCAGCTCCTGGTCAATGATGTCTACATTCAAATAGAGAACATATCAAGATATTAAACTGAGAAGAACAGATACTACACTTGATCTTAGCCAAAAGGAAGTGCAAGGAGAAGGAAGACATGTTCTACCACACGTGGTGGATGTGCAAGACAACAAAAGCATTCTGGGAAATGATATATATACAGTGGTACCTAGGGTTAAGAACTTAATTCGTTCTGGAGGTCCGTTCTTAACCTGAAACTGTTCTTAACTTGAGGTACCACTTTAGCTAATGGGGCCTCCTGCTGCTGCCGTGCCGCCAGAGCACGATTTCTGTTCTCATCCTGAAGCAAAGTTCTTTACCTGAGGTACTATTTCTGGGTTAGCGGAATCTGTAACCTGAAGTGTCTGTAATCCGAGGTACCACTGTATATATAATGAGTTGGAGAAAAAAGTTTAAAATAACATTTCTGGGGAAAACCAGAAGCCTTTTGACTAGGAATTTTAGGTGCAGAGATACCAAAGGAGCAGAAATGATTGTTTATGCATGCAACAACAGCAGCGCGGCTACTACTGGCCCAGAAATGGAAAGAAGACAAAGTCCCGACCAGAGACGAATGGCTAATGAAGATGATGGACTACGGTGAAATGGCGAAAATGACTGGGAAAATCAGAAACCAGGAAGAGAGGAACTTTAATAAGGAATGGGGGGAAATTACAATTTGCTTAAGAGAACATTGTAAGCAACTAAAAACTTTGGCAGGATTTGAGTAACGCTTGTAATGTACTAAAAACTAAGGTAAAAATGGATTCTTTAAGAAAAATGGAGAAAATATGTGATGCAGTAGGAAAAGATTGAAAATGGAAACCATGGAGGGGAGTCTAAGGATTCAGGATATCCCAAATGCTGGTGATGATGTCTAATGTTTGAATTTAAATGTATAGTGTAAAACTGAACAAAAAAAATTTTCAAAAGAAAAAAGAAAAAGCTCTACATCCAAGAGAAAGAGAGAGGCTTTTTGGCTTTCTTTTTCTTAACTGAGATTTTTCAAGTGGACAAAAACAACTGCAAATGAGATGCAGAAGATGTAACCGTGAACTTAGTCCCCGTGCTACTTGTGATGCACAGAAGAAACAGAAAACCCAAACAATCATGAACAGGGAGGGGGCAGCTCCTGAGGGCTGAGCCCTTTGAGGGGGTGTCCCCAAATATATTTGGGCTATAGAAATATTTTTAAGTGAAATGAAAACAAATAATAGTCTAATGAGGGCTCACCCACACTTTCACTTTGAAAAGCATGGGGCTGAGCGGTTTTCTGCTTGCCCCACACTTTCTAGATATGGGTCCAAGGAGTTTCCCCCTGCCCCACTCCTTTCCCTGGGAACGGATGATCTTTAGTGCGGAATCAGAGTAAACATCCACCTGGAGAAAACACATTTTTCTCCATTTGCTCCATTTGATCACTGTAAAGAGCAGTTTTAGCCAGGGGGAAGCAGACGGACAAGGGGAAGTGTGGATGAGTCCTGAGACCCTTCAAGATGTCCTCAGGGGAAATCATAGTATTGCAGGTACCCCAAGAGTGCTTAGCCCAGCAACCTGCAATGCAGCTATTTTCCAATGCGGGATGAAAATGTAAGAACCATGGATGGGGTTGAGGTTGGACTAGATGTTCTCTCAAGTTGTCCTCCAACTCAAGGATTCTAGAAGACTGAACATTGAAGATTCTAGAACATTGAAGATTAACAACAACAACAACAACAACAACAACAACAACACCCCATCTCACTTGGTTGCCCCATTCACTCTGGGAGGCTTCCAACAAATATAAAAGCAAAATAAAACCTCAAACATTAAAAGCTTTCCTATACAGTGCTGCCTTCAGATGTGTTCTAAACGTCAGATAGTTGTTTATCTCCTTGGCATCCGATGGGAGGGCGTTCCACAGGGAAGGCAACACTGCGAAAAAGGCCCTCTGCCTGGTTCCCTGTAACCTCACTTCTTGCAGTAAGGGAACCACCAGAAGGCCCTCGAAGGTGGAACTTCAGTGTCTGAACAATGGACAACAGTCCAAACAACAGCGGCTGAACAATGGAGTTGGAGCCACCCCTTTAGGTTTACAAGGCAGAGGCCATTTAGGGCTTTAAAGGTCATCACCAACACTTTGAATTCTGCTTGGAAATGTACTGGGAGCCAGTGCAGATCCTTTAGGACTCGTGTTCTATGGTCCCGGTGGCCGACCCAGTCATCAGTCCAGCTGCCGCATTCTGGATTAGTTGCAGTTTCCGAGTCACCTTCAAAGGTAGCATTGCAGTAGTCCAAGCAGAAGATAGCCAGAGCGTGTACCACTCTGGCAAGACAACGGTCAGGCAGGTAGGGTCTCAGTCGGCCTACCAAACAGAGCTGGTCGACAGCCGCCCTGGACACAGAACGGGTTTTCTGTCAATGTAGGCTGCAAAGCATGTGCTCTACCACCCTTTTCACTGCCCGATGACACAGTTTTTGGAGGAACGACTCCCTGCAGATAGCTCCACAAGCTCAGTGCCTGGTGGGTAGTGTTCTTGTTGATCTTTGCCATGGACCTGTTTTGGCTTGCCAGACCGAAAAACCAGGACTGGCCCAGGCAAAAGACAGCTGGGGCGCACACATCTGGTATGCCTGCAGGATGATATCCAGTCTCCCCAGAAGAAGAAGAAGAAGAAGAAGTCACTTTGCTTCCACTTCCAGCTTTCTTTGTAAATGCCTGCTAACACACCTCTCAGACACGGTAATGCAAAGACATCCTCGCCAAAGGATTAGCCATGCAAAAACCTGTCCAGAGGGCGTTCCAGTTTGTGGATTCCTTTCATTATTATTAATATTATTATTATTATTTCAACCCTTCTCCTACATGCAATTGCTTCCCAGCACTGCCTCTTCAGAGGCTTACAAGGAGCTCTTTGAGAGACGTGGATGTACACAAGGTGACAAGGGGGAAGCAATTATTTGACTCATCATCAGTTTATTGTCCTATAAGATGTTGGGATAGTGAAAGCTGACATAGGCAAAGAATCCACAGGATGGGAGGCGGCCTCTTGTGTGGAATAGGGTGGCTCGTGAGTCAGTTGCTTGCAGATCCAAGGATGCTGAGGAAGAAATGAATTTGCTGATGCTCCTCTTGCCCTGCTCTTCCCCTATCACCTCGCTTGCCCTCTTCTAGTTAGGAGTTTAGAAAGCAATGAGTCCTTCCGATATCCTATGTTGTCATGCACAGTCCTCACCTAGCCCAGGGATGGGGATCTGTGGTCCTCCAGAAGGTTCTGGGGCTACAGCTGCCATCCCACCCTCCTGCTGACCATTGGTTAGATGCCACAGAGTGGTTGGATGCAGAGGAATGGTGGGAGCAGTCAGATGGGGAGACCCCCAAGAGAAGAAGGCTCAGAGCCTGGGGAGCGGTGGTGGGACAACAGTGAGTGGTCAGAGGGAGAAGACTGGGAAGAGGAGGTGTCGGAAGCTGAAGAGGCAGCAGGGCTTAGTGAGCTGGGGGAGTCCGTGGCAGGGAGAAGTCCAGAATCAGAGGCAGAGGCTTAAGTAGGAGAGGAGGGAGGCCAAGAGGCAGAGATGAGTCTGGCTGGTGAAGAGGCATGGGTGTCTCCCCCTCCTGCTACAACAAGCTCCCCTCCCCATTGGTCTCCAAGTACCAGGAGAGGCATGAAGAGGGCTAGGCGCAGTCTATATGATCTGAAGCTCAACATCAAAAAAACGAAGATCATGGCCACTGGGCCCATCACTTCCTGGCAAATAGAAGGGGAAGAAATGGAGGCAGTGAGATATTTTACTTTCTTGGGCTCCATGATCACTGCAGATGGTGACAGCAGCCACGAAATTAAAAGACACCTGCTTCTTGGGAGAAAAGCAATGACAAACCTAGAAAGCATCCTAAAAAGCAGAGACATCACCTTGCCAACAAAGGTCCGTATAGTTAAAGCTATGGTTTTCCCAGTAGTGATGTATGGAAGTGAGAGCTGGACCATAAAGAAGGCTGATCGCCGAAGAATTGATGCTTTTGAATTATGGTGCTGGAGGAGACTCTTGAGAGTCCCATGGACTGCAAAAAGATCCAACCTATCCATTCTGAAGGAAATCATCCCTGAGTGCTCACTGGAAGGACAGATCGTGAAGCTGAGGCTCCAATACTTTGGCCACCTCATGAGAAGAGAAGACTCCCTGGAAAAGACCCTGATGTTGGGAAAGATGGAGGGCACAAGGAGAAGGGGACTACAGAGGACGAGATGGTTGGATGGTGTTCTCGAAGCTACCAGCATGAGTTTGACCAAACTGCGGGAGGCAGTGGAAGACAGAAGTTCCTGGCGTGCTCTGGTCCATGGGGTCGCGAAGAGTCGGACACGACTAAACGACTAAACGACTAAACAACAACAAAGGCGCAGTCTAAGATTGCTTGGGGAAAACCCTGGAGAGGACGGGACCTAGGCAGCTGTGGGGAGGCAGAGACCTTCAGTCTCAGCAACTGCTTCATGGGGAAAAGACCTGCCGGACATACGTTGCTGTGTTCATTAGGCCCGACACACTTGTGCAGATCCTGCTTTTGCTAATAAAGAGTTAACGCCAACTGGCTCAGTGTGGTTTCCTGCTGGTTCGCTCCTGTCACCATGCTGGGGTTGCTGGATATGGGAGAATCCAGCAACACCTGGTTATACATCTGATATAAACGTAAAGGGTAAATGATAAAGGGACCCCTGACCATTAGGTCCAGTTGTGACCGACTCTGGGGTTGCAGTGCTCATCTTGCTTTACTGGCCGAGGGAGCCGGAGTACAGCTTCCGGATCATGTGGCCAGCATGACTAAGCCACTTCTGGCGAACCAGAGCAGCGCATGGAAACGCCGTTTACCTTCCCGCCATAGCAGTACCTATTTATCTACTTGCACTTTAACATGCTTTCAAACTGCTAGGTTGGCAGGAGCTGGGACCCAGCAAACCGCTAGGTTGGCAGGAGCTCACCCCGTTGCAGGGATTCGAACTGCTGACCTTCTGATCGGCAAGTCCTAGGCTCTGTGGTTTAACCCGTAGCACCACCCGCGTCCCTCTATATATCCAATATACAAATTTAATAAATGATAATAATAAATAAATGACATCTGGATGGCCACAGCCTCCCCACCCCTCGCCTAGTCTTCCAGAGCAGGGTGAGGAAGAAAGAAAGCTGTCTTAAACAGAACCTGACCACTGGGCCCATCTAACCCAGTATTGTCTACACTGACTAGCAGTGGCAGGAAGATTCTTTTTGCAAACAATAAAGTCGTATAAATAAATAAATAAAGGTATTCTCCACCAATGAGCTCCACCATTACTGGGAACAAAGCTTTTGCATAGTCTTAAATGAGCCAGACATTTGCATGTGCTGGTGGGACCGAATAACTTCCATATTTGCCTAGAATCATAGATTTGTAGAGTTGGAAGGGGCTGGTGTGTGTGTGTGTCCTCTAGTCCAACCCTCTGCAGGGCAGGACTCTTTTGCCCAATGTGGGGCTCGAACCCACAACCCTAGGATTAAGAGGCCCATGCTCTTCCAGCGGAAATAAATAAAACCGTGCCCTATTGCAAAGAAACGGTCCTTCGAGCTCTGCTCTTTGGATGCTTTTAGTGACTGGCACATCTTTTCAAGAAAGGCAGCTATCAAAGGCCGGTTTCTGAGGGCTGGCTGTGGTTGGTGGGGCTGCCCTTGGTGACCCCTAACGGGCTGACTTCTGCTTTATCTGAACCTACAAAGGGCAGCTGAGGACATCAAGGCACACCGGATACATTTCGCTGCGGTGCTGTTTCCTCCTCCAGGGTGTGGCAGGGAAAGAGGAGAGGCTTTTTTTGGAATCGGCCACTCGCTTCTCTGCGTCTGCCTTCCACCAGCATTCCATTCGCCTGAGACTTCCTGCTGCCGTCTACGCCTCAAACGCCTTTGTTGTGCCACTTGCAGCCTCGCCTTTTGCCTCCGGGGCCGGGGCGAGGCCGCCAGACGCTCTGTAGCACCACCTCGCTGTGATAAAAGAGCTGCTCCTGGCGATAAAGATCTCGGGACCTTTTCTCTCTCCCCTCCGTCATCCAGCAGCCAAGGCTGCAGGACTACAATTCCCATCATCCCTGACCACTGGTCCTGCTAGCTAGGGATGATGGGAGTTGTAGTCCAAAAACAGCTGGAGACCCAACTTTGGGAAACACGATACTGAGCTAGATAGAACTATGGTCAGATATAAGGCAGCTTCCTGTCCTCCTATTGGTGGCTTTGTCACTTGACCACGAAGGCCACTGCTGGTTTGGGGTTTCAGCAATCACAAAATCATAGAATCGTGGAGCTGGGACCTCCTGAGGGTCATCTAGTCCAACCCCCTGAAATACAGGAATCTCAGCTAAAGCATCCATGGCAGATGGCCATCCAAACTCTGCTTTAAAACCTCCAAGGAAGGAGAGTCCACAATCTCCCAAGGGAGTCAAACAGCTCTTACTGTCAGACATAGGTGCCAACTTCCAGGAGCTGATGCAGTTGAATATTTTTCTGGAGGGGGCTGAGCCCCCTCAATATTCAGAGGATGTTGCCCCCTCCAAATCCTCTAGAGAAGCTGGCCCCTCTTGCTGTAAGAAAGTTCTTCCAGATGTTCTCCTTTCTTGTAGCTTGAAGTCATGGGTTCAAGTCCTACCCCCCAGAGCAGGAGAAAAGGAGGCGCCATTTTCCATGTGACAGCCTGTTAGATATTTGAAGATTGCTATACAAATGTAAGAAAGAAAGAGAGAGAGAGAGAGAGAGAGAGAGAGAGAGTCGGATATTCTAACGATCACACCGATCCTGGGCAAGAAATACGGGCAATGTGCAAACAATGAATGTCATGGAATCCAGTCTGGACCACTGATCCAAACATCTTGACTTCTTTTTCCTATGCACCCACGCAGTGGGAAGCGGTGAGGAAACAAGGCTTCTGAGTACCTGATGCCAGCTTGTTCAGCCTGAAGACTTTCAAACAATACCCGCAAACATCATTGGTAAAGAGCGAAACTAGGCCAGGCCAGAAACCGAGACGGCAAAGCGGAATAATAGTGGAATCCTTGGGAACTGTTCCAAGCCTAGAAGGGAACGCCAATCACATGCTCACTCAGCACCCTCTGCTGGCCGCACTGTCGCTAAGAATTAGGACTGGGTCGAAAAGCATTCAGGCCTGGGAGAGCTGGGGAAATGAAACTATTTTCAAGGCCTGGGGTTTTAGCCAGGGCTTTTTCCCCCCCAGCTGGAACTCAGCTTCGGCACCCCTTATGTGGGTGCCATTGTCATTATAAGAGAACAGGGGAGGAGTTCACGGTGAGTTCTGGCACCTCTTTTTCTAGAAAAAAATAGCACTGGTTTCAGCCAAAGCTAGTCCTACTCAGGAGGGACGCGGGTAGCACTGTGGGTTAAACCACAGAGCCTAGGACTTGCTGATTAGAAAGTCGGCGGTTCGAATCTCCACGACAGGGTGAGCTCCCGTTGCTCAGTCCCTGCTCCTGCCCACCTAGCAGTTCAAAAGCACATCAAAGTGCAAGTAGATAAATAGGTACCGCTCCAGCGGGAAGGTAAACGGCGTTTCCGTGCGCTGCTCTGGTTCGCCAGAAGTGGCTTAGTCATGCTGGCCACATGACCCGGAAGCTGTACGGCGGCTCCCTTGGCCAGTAAAGCGAGATGAGCTCCGCAACCCCAGAGTCGGCTATGACTGGATCTAATGGTCAGGGGTCCCTTTACAGTTGTATCTCGGAAGTCGAATGCCTTGCGAGTTGAACGTTTTGGCTCCTGAATGCCACAAACCTGGAAGTGAGTGTACCGGTTTACGGACATTTTTTGGAACCCAAACATCCGAACGGCCTTCCACGGCTTCTGATTGGCTGCAGGAGCTTCCTGCAGCCAATCGGAAGCTGCGCCCAGGTTTCCGAAAGTTTTGGAAGTCAAATGGATTCCGTTCGACTTCCGAAGTATGACTGTAGCCCTATAAAAAACTGCACTGGAAACACTCAAGAACATTTAAAAGCACACACACACAAAAGACAACAGCTAGCTAGGGGCCAAAGGCTCATTGGTACAAAAAAGGCTTTGTTTGGTGGTGGAAGTAAAACAGGGATGAGGCCAGCCTGGTCTCCTCTAGAAGGTTAAAACACATTATTAAAGTTAATATATATATATATTTGTAAAGAATTAGCACTGTGGCCTCTGAGGGGCAGTGGCTTTCGAGGGAGTCAAGCAGAGAGGCATCTTTTCTCACCTCCTGCTACCAAACCCTTTTAACCGGAGAGGGTTTTGAACCTGGGACAGAGCTATACAAATGCCTCGCCTGCTTTTTGAATCACAGGGGAAGAGTCTCATGCTCTTAACAACATCTCACCCACAAAGGGGGCTTCCTCTTACCTTGCTGACTGGCTTCCAGTTCCTTTGTTTCAAGATCATGAGTCAATTCTAGAAGAAGAAAAGAGATTGTAAGAACATAGAAACGTAAGAGAAGCCTGCTGGCTCAGTTCAATGACCTGTCTAGCGTCGCACCCCTTTCTCACAGCGGCCAACCAGATGGGATTCGTGAACTATGAACCCTGGAATCTGGGATCCCCTCCAACTTCATGCCAAAGTTTTGCAGCGTTTGCAGCAAAAAAAACCCACCCCCATGTTTTGCGATGTAACCACTCTGGATGGCTCTCAAGAAAATATTTTTTAAAATTTTAAAATGAAGAAACACATTGGAAAACAAAAAGAAACAACAGTGCTTGCTTTAAAACATAGGATGCAACCACTTTATAATATGATCATGGGACATCCAGAAAGTCTTTCTTTTGGGTGGGGTGTGTATGTGTGTGTTATCGGGTTCTTGTTTTTATTTTGATCATATATACATTTTGGTTTTTATGTTGATCTTTTCTGTGAGACCTCTGGGTATAGGGCGGTATATAAATTCTATTATTATTATTATTATTATTAAGCAATGCAACTACATAAGAATATAAATCACTCCTAAAATATAATTATAAATGAGCCTCTTACATATGTGCCGTAAGTATGTATGTAAACAAAGTCATTGAGAGGCATGAGCTTGCATTTGCTGGGCAATCTCATTTATTTTAGGTCTAATTTGAGCCTAGCAAACTCTCATCTCCGCATCAACACAAAGAGGCCTTTCTCTTTACTGATCTTTCACATTTGTCTGAGTTGAAAATCCCTGTTCAGAAACAAGATGTTGTGGGGAACTGCAGAAGAATAGCCAATGCTCTTGAAATGTTTAAATGTTTCTTCTTCTTCTTCTTTTTTCCTCCCCATTTTATTTATTTATTAACGTTCTTATGTTACATATGCATACATTGTCATATTACATTACAGGGCTTATTATAATATAATTTCCAACATGTATACAAAGTTTATATACAAAATTTATATACCTAAAGAAAGAAAAAGAAAGAAAAAAAGAAAAAAAGAACAAAGACAAAAAGCTATTCCAAAATCATATATGCAACAACACTACGGACTTTCTGTCAATCCCGTTGTATATTCCTTTTTTTACAAATGAATGTACTCTTATTATTGTATATTTCTTTACATTTCTTTACATCTGAAGGAGCGTCTCCACCCCCATCGTTCTGCCCGGACACTGAAGTCCAGCGCCGAGGGCCTTCTGGCGGTTCACTCATTGCGAGAAGCAAAGCTACAGGGAACCAGGCAGAGGGCCTTCTCGGTAGTGGCGCCTGCCCTGTGGAACGCCCTCCCATCAGATGTCAAAGCAATAAACAACTACCTGACATTCAGAAGACATCTTAAGGCAGCCCTGTTCAGGGAAGTTTTTAATGTGTGACATTTTAGTGTATTTTTGGTCTCTGTGGAAGCCGCCCAGAGTGGCTGGGGAAACCCAGCCAGATGGGCGGGGTACAAATAAATTATTATTATTATTATTATTATTTTATCTAATACATTCCCATATCAATATGTACCCTTAATCTTATTTCTCAACTCAATTTCTCTCCAACGTCAATTGATGTTGAAATGTTTAAATGCTTCTTTGATTTCCCCTTGAATTTCACTGCCACATTTGCCATCCTCTCCTGCCACCCCAGCGCCGCACTCATTGAGAACCACTGCTCTAACCACTACGCCACACTGCCAAATAGCAAGGTCCAAGCTGAGGTGGCGAGGCCAAAGGGATCACCCTTCCAGATCTGCTCCTGCGCCCTGAGCGCCTTGGATTTCATGCTGCCAGACTCCAAATCAAAATCAAATGCCGGCTGTGCAATTTGAAGGCCGTTTCGGCCTGATTAACTCCGAGAAGCTGAGGCAGGCCCAGAAGTGGGGCAGAAATGCATGCTGGGAGAACACTCAGTCTATCTCCTTCCTCTCTTGTAAAACCAGGCCAGCCCCAGAGGTGGTTGCATTAGAAGGGCAAACAGCACTTTGCTTGGCAGCAAAGCATGAATCCCAGCGCACTCCACGCCAGACTTGGAAACCAATCCTTTTTCGGATGCCAGTTTCTCTGTGCGATGCAACAAACCCAGTTAAATTTCCAGGGAAATTCCAAATGGCGCTCTATTCTGGCAGTGCGGCCAACAGTGTTCAATTAAACACGGTTTTGCGCCCTTTGATTGGACCCTAATGGCACAATCCTACGTAGAGACATGAATAGGGCGCAGGAACAGGTCCATGAGATTTACTCCACTGTAAGTGCGTATCAGATTGCAGCCTTCTGTCAAGGCTCTGTCAAGGCTATGGGAAAGCTATTCCTTCCCTGGTTGCAACAAGAGAAGAGACAACAAGGTAGAGTCCCTTTTAATGAGTTTTATCCAATCCTAATAGCGAGAGACAAAAGAACGCAACAAGCCTTAACAATGGCGTTGCTCCAAACTGGGTTCTTCCTCCCTCCTTCATAGCAACAGCACTTTCCCTTACGGTGGCCACCTGTGGTCAAATGTCTTGGATTCCGTTGTTCCTGCACCTTTAATGAACGCCGAGTTCTGGGAGAAGGGGGATCAGAAATACTCTCCAGTGACAATGTGTCAGCTGGTTCCCCTTCCACATTTCCCCCTTCTTCTAACACTTCCCAACTCTTCTGTTCGCCTGTCTCTGAGCTGTGACTTCCCTCAGACTCCTCAAAGCCCTGCTGTAATTCAATACTGCATTCCTCTCCTTCAGGAGCATCAGGAGAAGCGGGGGGCATGATCCTCACCATTCCTCCTCCTCTCTCCTGCCTCCTCTCGAGTCCAACTCCTGACACCTTCATTTGCCACCAGGAGCAAGCCCCTCAACTGAGTGGTAGGAATGCCCTATTGAAAAGAAGACAACTAATGGTCTTGATGTCTACCAGCTCCATCTGGTATGAAGGCTGACACCCTACCTGCCTGCAGACTGTCTCGCCAGAGTGGTGCATGCTCTGGTTATCTCTCACTTGGACTACTGCAATGCGCTCTGGGTGGGGCTACCTTTGAAGGTGACCCGGAAACTACAACTAATCCAGAATGCAGCAGCTACACTAGTGACTGGGGGCAGCCGCCGAGACCACATAACACCGGTCGTGAAAGACCTATATTGGCTCCCAGTTCGTTTCCAAGCACAATTCAAAGTGTTGGTGCTGACCTTTAAAGCCCTAAACGGCCTCGGCCCAGTATACCTGAAGGAGCGTCTCCACCCCCATCGTTCAGCCTGGACACTGAGGTCCAGCGCCGAGGGCCTTCTGGTGGTTCCCTCACTGTGAGAAGCCAAGTTACAGGGAACCTGGCAGAAGGCCTTCTTGGTGGTGGCACCCACCCTGTGGAACGCCCTCCCATCAGATGTCAAAGAGATAAACAACTACCAGACTTTTAAAAGACATCTGAAGGCAGCCCTGTTTAGGGAAGCTTTTAATGTTTGATGCATTACGGTATTTTAATATTTTGTTGAAAGCCGCCCAGAGTGGCTGGGGAAGTCCAGCCAGATGGGCGGGGTATAAATAAATAAATAAATAAATAAATAAATAATAATAATAATTTATTATGATGGAAGGAATGCCCTATTGAAAAGAAGACAACTCATGGTCTTGATTCAATAGCAACAAAGGGAGCTGCCTTCCTCCAAATTGGCCCATTGGCCCATCTTGCTCAGTAGTGTCCACTCTGACTGGCAGCAGCTCTTCTAGGATTTCAGGTAGGGAGTCTCTCCCAGCCGTACCTGGAGGTGCCAGGAATTAAACCTGGGACCTTCTGCATGCAAAGCTGATGCTCTGCCACTGAGCCAGGGCCCTTCCTCCTGACTCAATAGAAGACATTGTATGTTCATTGGGAAAGGGGACACAGAAGGTGGCAGGTTCAACCCCCAGCATGTTCAAGTGGGACCAAACAAGAGCCTTGCATGGATCCCTGGACAGCTGCTGCCAGCCAGTGTACACCAGTGTCTATTTACGCTTGCATTGACATCTCTGTGACTTGGGAGACGGAGGAGGCATTACTGTCTTCTCATAGGTGGACAGGACAGGTGGTGTAACAAACAGGTGGGACTGGACATAGATTCATAGAACTGTAGAGTTCTGTGCAATGCAGGAATCTCAATTAAAGCATCTATGACAGGTGGCCATCCAAGCTCTGCTTAAAAACCTCCAACGAAGGAGAGTTCACCGTCTCTTCCACTGTCAAACAGCTCTTACCACCAGGTGTTCAGTAGGAATCTCCTTTCTTGCAACTTGAAGCCATTGGTTCAAGTCTTACCCTCCCGAGCAGGAGAAAACAAGCTCGTTCCCTCTTCCATATGACCGCCCTAGAGATATCTGAAGATGGCTATCATATCTCCTCTCAGTCTCCTCCAGGCTAAACATACCCGGCCCCTTCAACTGTTCCTCATCAGGCTTGTTTTCCAGACCCTCAATCATCTTGATCACCCTCCTCTGCACACATTCCAGCTTGTCAACACCCTTCTTAAACTGTGGCACTCAGAACTAGACACAGTACCTTGGTTTACGAACTTAATCTGTTCTAGAAGTCCGTTCTTAAACCAAAACCGTTCTTAAACTGAGGCGCGCTTTCCCTAATGAGGTCTCCTGCTGCCAGTGCCCTTCCACCGTTCAGATTCCATTCTTAGACCAAGGTAAAGTTCTCAAACCAAGACACTATTTCCGGTTTTGTGGAGTTTGTAAACCAAATCGTTCTTAAACCGAGGTACCACTGGGTGTGGTTTGGCCGAAGCAGTATTATGACTTCCCTTGACCTGGATACTAGAATGCTGTTGATGCAGCCTAGAATAGCATTAGCCTTTTTTTGCTGCTGCATCACACTGTTGACTCATGTTAAGCTTGTGGTCCACTAAGACCCCTAGATCTTTTTCACATGTACTGCTAGTAAGCCAGAAGCCCCACATCTTATATTCTCCACCAGGGCCAGGGCCTTTTCAGTGATGGCTCCAACCTGGTGGAATGCTCTGTCCCATGAGACTAGGGCCTTTCAGGATTTAACCTCCTTCCATTGGGCCTGTAAGACAGAGCTATTCCGCCTGGCCTTTAATTTGAATTCAGCCTGATCTTTTCTTTCCCTCCCCCTCCCCTTTTATGAAGATCACCCGCTCTGAGACCCCACAGTTAATTCTCCCCTGGCCTCCTCGCTGGCCCAGGTAGGACTAATTCAGCCAGCTAGCCCTGGTGACTATCTAATGCTTATTAGATGGATTTTCCCCAAATTGATTTCTGAACTTTGAATTTTATTGTTATTCATGTTTTTATACTGTATTTTATGCTGCTTTTACAATTAAGTGTTTTAAATTTGTTGCTAGCCGCCCTGAGCCCGGTTTTCTGAACCGGGAAGGGTGGGGTATAAATAAATAAAATATTATTTATTATTATTATCTTATATTTGTGCAGCTGGACATTCTTGCCTTAGTGCAGATCATGGTTTATGACATTCCTGGAGGCAGACCTGGTTTCACCACAGGCTTCAAGCTGCAAGAAAAGAGATTCCTACTGAACACCAGGAAGAACTTTCTGATGGACAGAGCTGTTTGACAGCTGGAGGTGGCGCCTGTGCCTTGCACTGTGGGGACTGGTGGGGAGACAAGGCAAGGGAAATCCACCCCATTAGGTCTTTCCCCAGGATCCTCTTCCTTGGGCTCTCCTGACCCAGGTAGAGACCTTCCCAGCCCACTGGATCCTTCTCAGTGGTCATCTGTTGGCCACTTGTCTCCGCTGTCCTGGCCTAGCCAGCTCCTGCTCCACTCGGAGCCTATGACAAACAGGCTGCTATTCATATCCAGTGCTCAAACAAAGAACAGAATGAGCATTCTGCAGCCATCCCCTAAAAAAGCACTGCATTCTTTGACTTGTACGACTCATGCAAGCTTTGCAAATTAAAGCTGCAGTTCAAGCACAATTGCTTCTTCTTTGGCCTGTCTCTTTTCTTCTGTTGCCGATCACAGAATTGCAACAAACCGAAATGAAACACGGGCTCCTGCAAATCGTTTAGTTGCAAAGAACAATTGAAACCACATGTCCCAACTGCCTCTGTTAACAGGGGTTTGTTCCAATTTTCTTTTACCTATTGTAGGTAGTTGTGCCTGTTTGGTCCCCATTGGGGAAAGACCAGATGGGTACCTTCTTCAAACCGCATCAACGTGAACTACAAAAGTCACCACTCTGGAGTTTTTCGCCTGCTCTGTGGATTCTCCCTGGGGCGGAGAACCTTAGAATCACAGAGCTGGGAGCTGCCTCAAAGGTTCACCTATCAGGGATGCTGTTACCAGAAACCCATTGCTCTGGCATCTCTGATAGGTGGCCATTTGGGCTCTGATTACGAAGGAGAGTCCCCCACATTCAAGGCACTGAACAGCTTGCACCACCAGGAAGCTCTTCTAGATTTTAGTCTAAATCGGCATGGCTAACCTGTGGCCCTCCAGATGTGGTTGGATTTCAACTTCCATCAGCCCCAGCCAAACTGGCCACTGTTTGGAGGTGATAGGAGCTGGAGTTCAGCCGAAACTCGGGAGCCATCGTTCCTCACTCCAGCCCTTGTGAGCTCAACTCCACCACGTCTGTCCTAAGGATGGGGTGTGTGTTATTCTGCCAATTTCAATCTATTTCACGTCCTCATTTTCCCAGCCTGATGTTCGGTTCTCCCCCTTTCTGTCCAATCTCTCTCTCTCTGTGTTGTTGTTGTTGTTGTTGTTGTTGTTGTTGTTGTTGTTGTTGTTTTTAAAAAAGAGGACCTCATGACCTCACTAATATATGCATTCATGGACACTTTCCCTGGTATATGCATTTTTGTAAACATTGTTTTATTGCAGAACTTCTATTGGAGAACTTTTGTAAACATTGTTTGGTGGGAGAACTTCGTTGAAAAATTTGCAGAAGCTAAAATTTCAAAGGACAGCTGCGTTTTGGTTTGAATTAGGTGGATGTACCTTTAAATGTCAACTGAATTGAATTTCTTCCCTTTAGCTTGGACACGCAGAAGTGTTTTGAAGCAAAAGCAAGAACCACAGGTGAGTCCAAATCCTGGATCTCCCGTGGTGCCACGTCTATTTTTGTTCCCTAGTCTTTCTTTTCTAATAACTGAGCCTGATAGAACCCTAGAATGGTGGAGTTGGAAGGGACCACGAGGGTCATCTAGTCCAACCCGCTGCAATGCAGGAATCTTTTGCCCAATGTGGGACTCAAGACCACAACCCTGAGGTTAAGAGTCTCATGCTCCACCAACTGAGCTATCCCTGGCCTTATTTGATGCCTCCAAAATAATTAATGGACCGCCATGAAATTAAGAACAATGGTGGAACAAAACTGGGAGGGGGGGGAAAGCACTTAGGAAAATGAGGAGGCCGAAAAAAGAACAAGAACTGAAATAGTTAATCATTGTGTTTCTTAAAAATAATATAAAACAGTTTTCATGTTGACTCTAACCTTCCTTGCTTGAGCATTGTGGTGGATCAATGTCGCTGGAGAACAAACCTCATCACCCCTGGCCATTGGCCATGCAAGCTGGGGCTGATGGAGGTCCAACAACATCTGGAGGGCCACAGGTCCCCCACCTTTGTGCTAGTCATTGCTGTGACTTTGAGACAGTGATCAACAGGGCTGAACCTTCACTTCCTCTCCCTCCCCCTCCCCCTCCCCTCCGGATCCTCTGAGAATGAGATCAGTGGCGGAAACATGCAAGTAATGGACTAGGCACAGCAATTTCTGGTAAGCCATTCAAATCTCTCCTGCTATCCTATTGCAAATCAATACGGGCAGCCTTATGCCCACCTCCTCCTGCCTCGTTCCTGCAGCTACTGTAAAACTCGGCAGCATCTCTCTGGCAGAGATGGGCGAATCTGCCGATTCCAGTTTCTCAATTTTTTTCCAACGTTATGTTCAGCTCTCCCCATTTCCACATCAGTTTGTGTTTTTCCAAGAAAACAGAAAGTCCTCATGAAAATCCCCTAGCGTTTCAGCGTGACTCTTTCTCGGCACAGTTTTGTACGCAAATTTAACTAATGTGCAGATTTTTTTGAAACTCATAGAATTGTAGTTGGGAGGGACCCTGAGGGTCATCTAGTCCAACCCCCTGTGATGCAAGAATCTCAACTATCTCAAAGAACCCATGACAGACGACAATCCAACCTCTGCTTGAAAACCACCAAAGAAGGAGGGTCCACTGACATTCCACTGTCAAACAGCTCTTACCATCAAGAAGTTTAGTCAGAATCTCCTTGCAACTTGAAGCTGTTGGTTCGAGTCCTACCCTCCAGAGCAGGAGAAAACAAGCTTGCTCTATCCTCTATGTGACAGCCCTTCAGATATTTGAGGATGGCTATCATATCTCCTCTCAGTCTCCTCTTTACCAGACTAAACGTAACCCAACTCCCTCAACCGTTCTTCATCAGACCTGGTTTCTAGACCCTTGATCATCTTGGGTGCCCTCCTCTGTATATGTTCCAGCTTGTCGACATCCTTCTTAAATTGTGGTGCCCAGAACAGGACACAGTATTCCACTTGTGGTCTGACCAAGGCAGAATGAGCGGTACTATTGTTTCCCTTAGTTGGTCAAATCCATTGCCCAATTCTGGCATTTCATTATCGCTTCAGAAACAAAACTGAACGTTTTGGCTGAGTGTTTTGATGATTAGCGTCTAAAGAAACACATCCTCGCAATCCCTTTGTGTGAGAAGTCCACTTCTTTTTTGTTCATGGCAATGCTAATTAAGGTTCCCATTTTACCTTCCCAGGACTACAGAAAGAATGGGGTGAGGAGAACTGGAAGCCTACATTTTCCGCCTAAGTTTAGGCAGGATGGGAGGAGGGCCAAGTTGCGCCTTTCGTATGTCGGGCTCATTCCAAGAAATGACTCATTCCTGTATTGTTAACAGCATTTATCTTCCCACAAGACCCGATACTGGAAATGTGGGGATTACAAAGGACTGGAGAGTTTGGCCCTTTTTCTTTCTGGTGGCTACTCAGGGAACACAATTGTGTTTTGGAAATGACTCACACATGGGAACAGGATGGGCTTAGAGGCTGACCGCAGCCATCCAGGCCTCTCTATCTGACTCACGGGGGTGGGGTGGTCCTCCCTAAGCCGCCCTCCCCAGCCATACCATAGAACTGTAGAATTGTAGAACTGGAAGGGATCTCGAGGGTCATCTAGTCCAACCCGCTGCAATCTCAACACACAGTCCCCCGCCCAATTTGAAACCATACCGGACCCTGCTTAGCTTTGCAGATGTGCTAGCAGTTTTATAGCTGCACCCCTTCTCTACAGACCCTACACCTCACCTTTTGCTTCACTATGATGCATCCTTGCATTCTGATAATGGGTAGAGGACAGAGGGTGTTGTCTGAGTAAATTAGCATATGTGGCTCCACCCACATTTGCTCCTGGTCTTGCCCACCACTGGCATGTGGACCCAGAAGGATACTGGAAACGAGATGTGGCCGTCCGGCTTAAAAAAATGCATTTCCCACCCCTGATGTAGAATAAGCTATTAGGTTTACAGCCTTGCCTAGCTTTTGAACCTGGGGGGGCGGGTCTCCTCAGTGGAAGAAGAGGGCAAGCAGGATCCCCTAGCTGATCTCCATGCCACCAGGGAGCTGTCTGCCCGTTTCCTGCACCTAAAAGACCATGTACAACTTGCAGAACAGCAAGGCAAGCAGAAGCAAGTGGGCTGACTTGGGGGTAGCACATTTGCTGCAACCGTGGGTCACTAATTCAACCCCCATCCTAACAGGTTAATGCATTTGAGGCAGAAGGAAGGCATTAAGCAAGTTCAGTCTTCCTTTTATATGAGCCTGCTTTGTTGGTACGATTGTCACTGGAAAACAAATATTTCATTTGGCGTTTCCATAAAAAGAAAATGCAGGTGGGCAAGACTCCTGAAGTCAGGGGAAAACAGAGCAACTTTATTTTGAAGTGTAGTCAAAGTGATACATCTCTTGGCTCTTTTTTTTGGGGGGGGGAGTCAATTGAAGGTTTTCTAATGAAACTGGAGGAGAGGAGAGAGGATGGCGGAGGGGAAGCATCCACTCCTGTTTTGGCTTAGTCCTTCTCCTGTAACAAAGTTCTGATTGAAGGTTACAATTTTGAGCAGTGAGGAGTAAGTGTATGCTTAAGTCTTCCAGGCTTAGTTGTTTTCCTTCGCTAAATCGCCCCCAAGATTCCTTTACCACTTACAAGAGAGCAAATGCCTACCTGTGGCTCAGCCAAAAACTGCTGAAGCAACATCACCCACCTTTCCTTGGGAGGTCTCCTAGGATATGAAGCTACCTACAGCTGGACAGTAATATATGTCCTCCTTAGGAGCTCTCCTAAGTCCTGGAGTGGCTCACCCTGCCTACTACCTAGAGCAGCAGTTCTAAGTACTGTTGGAAGCAGGTTAAGCCTCTTCAGGACCTCGGAGAGCTCCAATGGAAGTCATACATACACTGTTGTCCAGTGGGTTGTAGAGAAGTCAACCATAAATACGTTTCTACCTTAGGAGCACTCCAAGATCATGATTTGCTAATATGGTGCCCATGGGCCAGAAGTCTTCTCTGGTGTTCGCAGGGCCCTGCTCCTCTCATCCTTCCCCCATTGAAATTGAGTGAGTTCAATACACAGGGAGTTTCAAAGCGTAGGTTGCTACTAAAAGACTGATTCTCTTACAGTTGCAGAACGAATATTATGGGGAACCCGTCACCGTGCCAGTTCCACAGATGGAAGAAGGTTGAGTGGGCATATGTTGGCTAAGGTGACCCTGCACATAAACTGGTCCCAAGCTTGTTAAAGCTTTATATTCTAACACCTTAAACTTGGCCTGGTAGCAAATGGGCGGCCAGTGCAGATCTCTGGGAACAGGTGCTATATATGCTGACAGGGGCTTCACACCTGTCAGCAACCTTGCTGCAGCATTCTGCACCAGCTGCACTTTCTGGGTCAAGCACAAGGAAGAATGACTTAACCCAAAGCCAAGTTAATCTCCTCACTCTCTGTTGGCAACCTTTTGCTTCTCGAATTTCCTTTCGGATTACACTTCTGGAACTTGAGCAGCAACCGAGGGATCTAAATACTGGATCCACAGCTTCCTTTGTCTCTTCAGAAGAGACTTCTGCAAGCTGGCTGGATGCGCGGTTGCCCGCCCGTCCCCCACCCATGCGCCAAAACCGGTACAAATGAGATCACTTAACACTGATGCACATGGCACAGGGCTGAAATTAATCCTCTTTGAAGAGGAGGAGACACAGGGGGTTTAATGATGGCTTTGTAACACAAAATGTACTTTGCCCCTCCCCCACAGTGGCTCCCTCCCACAATCTTGGATCAGGCTGCTGGATTAACAAAATGCTCACACTCATATGTTCCCCTCCCCACCCCCAGGCTTTTGTCTATTGTAACTCAAAACACTGTTTAGTCATCCGCCCTAACAGAAAGGAACGTCTTAAACTGGATTGCATTGAAATCAAATTTAGCCCAACCATCCTAATTACAATTCCAACTGCATTTCCTAAAAGACAGACAGAGAGAGAATGTGGTAGAAAAACCTCTCTCTTTCATTCAACGTGTATTCCCAGAAGGAAACCAATTAGAGAACTGATTACTAACGTAAGCCACATTTGCACCATACATTTAAAGCACCGTGTTGTCACTTTGATCTGTCATGGCTTCACCCAAATGATTCTAGGAGCTGATAAGGAGGCTGAGATTTGCTAGGAGACCCCTGTTTTCCTTACAGAGCTACAAAACTCAGAAGAGGGAAGAGGGATTGACTGTTAGACCATTCTGGGAACTGTAGCTCTGGGAGAGGAATAGGGGTTCTCCTAACAACTCCCAGCACCAAACTACAGCTCCCAGAATTCTTTGGGGGAAGTAATGGCTGGTTAAAGTGGTGCCATAGTGCTTTAGATATAGGGTGTGAATGTGGCCTTGCTCTGGTATCCTTGAAATCTTTCCAGGCAGCAGATTACACAATCTCCCAACACCAATGTGTTCAATTGCCGCCTGACTCTTAAAGGTCTTTCTCAGAAGCTGTTGGGTCTACAACCAGAAACTTCTGGCTGTGTGTACGTACTGATGTTCTTTGTCAGGGATGGGGATCCAGTGGTCCCTCCAGATGTTGTTGGACTCCAAATCCCATTGCCTCTGACCACTGGCCATGCTGGCTGGTCCTGATGGGAGCTGGAGTCCCTTGGAGGTGGTGTGGAGGGAACAGTCAGATCAGGAGGAGGGATGGGAGGAGCCTGGAGAGTTAGAACCACATGACCCCAGGGAAGGTCCCAGTGGAGTCCAAAAAGCAATGCTGGAGCCCCAAGAAACTTTGGAGCCAGAGAGGGAGTTGGTGGGCACAGTGGCGTAGAGTGGGTTGCCAGAGCCCGGGGCCATGCAGAGCAGGATGGGAGGGAGGGAAAGGGACAGAGTACACATGTGCATTCAACTGCCTAGCGGCATCTGCATCACCCAGGAGATCGCAGCTGTAGAGATAATAAATGAAGAGTTGTTCCATTGTCTGGAGAGGTCACTTCCTGGTTTGCATGAAGAAGTCATTTTCAACAGAGCCCAGTGACAGAAGCAAACAACTGTATTGAAGCAGCACTGGGTATTGAAATTTTGTGTCCCTAAATTTTTTGGAACCCGGGCAACTGCCTCATGCTATGTCACTGGGTGGGCAGGAATGCAAGGAGCTGCAGTTCAGGAGAGGGCCCGTTGTCAGGGAAAGACCTTCCCCCTGTGTTACCACCAGACACCCTAGCCAGTTCCCTCCAGAGCCTCCTCTAATAGTAAAGTTTCTCCCTTGGAAGAGACAAATTGGATGCTGAGCTGGCATTGACTCCCCTTCCTAGGCCCTGGAAATTCCAGCGTGAACATCAACCAACTCAGGGCTTGTACACATTTCTGCTTGCCCCATGCCTAGAAACCACAGGTCTGAGAGGTTCTATGTTTGACCCACACTTTCCCTGGGGAAACCCACTCTTTAGCACTGAATCGGAGCACACATCAACTCGCAGAAAACCCGTTTTGACGTTTGCTCCGATTCAATGGCAAAGTGCAAGTTTTCCTCAGGGGAAAGTGGTGGGACAAGTGGAAGTTGTGGATGAGCCTTCTGAATGGTGCCTTATCCAGTCCCGAGACTCCTCTTGCTTGCTGTGCAAACAGACTGTACCTGGCCCGTTCTTCTAAAGAAAGGTGGTGGTTGCATCCACTTCTTAGCTTGCCCCTAAGCCATGCAATTCACCTGCAGTGCCTTTGAACCTTTGCCTTGCCGATGCACCATAGTGAATAAAGTCTGAACGATTTGGGCAGAAGCAGACATTGGAAATAAATTAAAAAATTAAAAAAATGTCCAGTAGCATCTTAGAGACCAACTAAGCTTGTTCCAAGGGACGTGGGTGGCGCTGTGGGTTAAACCACAGAGCCTAGGACATGCCGATCAGAAGGTTGGCGGTTTGAATCCCTGTGACGGGGTGAGCTCCCGTTGCTCGGTCCCAGCTCCTGCCAACATAGCAGTTCGAAAGCACGTCAAAGTGCAAGTAGATAAATAGGTACCGCTCCGGCGGGAAAGTAAACGGCATTTCCGTGCGCTGCTCTGGTTTGCCAGAAGCGGCTTAGTCATGCTGGTCACATGACCCAGAAGCTGTAGGCTGGCTCCCTTGGCCAATAAAGCGAGATGAGCGCCACAACCCCAGAGTCGGCCACGACTGGACCTAATGGTCAGGGGTCCCTTTACCTTTCAGTTTGTTCTGGGTATAAGCTTTCGTGTGCATGCATACTTCTTCAGATACACTGAAACAGACCTTTATATATAGTGGGAGGGTGGGGTGGGGCTTTTCTCAGAAGGATAGTAGGAGATGAGTGATTGACTCAATGGGTATGGTAAACCTGTTGACGGCTATTAACGACTGCAATTAGTCCTACAGGAAAAAGCAAAGGATAGTATGCAGAGGTTGGAGTTCAAGATCTTCCTCCAGTGAGAGACGGGACACCCATAACTTCTGGAAGCCCACAACTCCCGCCAGACCCAACCTGCAGGGTCTGTGTGGTTAGGGAGCCTCACGAGACTTGGAGGGCCACCAGTTCCCTGCCCCCAAACCCACACAGCTCACCTGTGCAGTGCTTCTGTAAGTGGAGGATCTCCAGGTGCAAATCGTGGAGGAGTTCCATCTGCTCCTTCTTCAAGAAGGCGATGTGTCTTTGCACACTTTGGATATGGTGCTCCAGGGACAGGGTCTCCATCGCAACACAGTTGTCAACCGTCAGAGCCTAGAGGGAATTAGACGTGGATTCATGAGTTGCCCTCACGGCAATAGTGGCTTGCGGGAAGAGGGAGCTTCTTCTTCTCTCCTGCTACCCTGTCTCAAGTGATTCCTGTAGGTTGATTTACTGAAAGACATTGGCTTTAAACACATCAAGCAACTGATATATCTGAATATATTTGCACGTTCCACCTGTTTGAATAAAAACAAATCAAACAGGCTGCTGTTCTTGCACAGAGCAGAACCACAGAATCGTAGAGTTGGAAGCGGCCACAGGGTCATCTAGTCCAACCCCTGTGATGCAGGAATCTTTTGCTCAACATGGGTCTCGAACCCACAACCCTGAGATTAACAGTCTCACGCTCTGCCAACTGAAAACTATGACCAAGGTTTGAATCCCAAGTCAGCCATGAAGTTCACTGGGTGACCTTGGGCCAGCCTAGCCTACCTCACAGGGTTGCTCTGAGGATGGAATGGGGAGGAGGTGAACCATGTGACCACCTTGTGCTCCTTAGAAGATAAAGGTGGTTTATAAATGCAAAAAATAAAAATAAAACAGCTCTTTTTAAAAATTCCAAATATGCTGTTTAATTAGACACGGAATGAGAAATCAAGATTATTCACAGAATTGTAGGTTAGGTGATTTTCAACATGATTTTGTTGAAGCAAGTCCCATTTTCAGCTGGGCTTACACCTAGATATGCGCTCACAGAATTGCAAAGTGGCTTTAAAGCCTATTTTTGCAACTCCTTTTGCTAGGCACTTTGTTTTTGTTGCTTAGTCGTTTAGTCGTGTCAGACTCTTCGTGACCCCATGGACCAGAGCACGCCAGGCACTTAGCTGAATTTAATACATGGTATCCTATCTGAACCTGCCTTCGAGTTCAACTTCTGAAGGGTTTGCTTACAGACCCACATTTAAGATCCTTGGGATTGGAGGGCGTGAGACACAGGGCTTCTTTGGTGGTGGCTCCATGTTTATGGAACCCCTTCCCAAGAGAGATACATTTGGCCCCATCAACAAGGGTTTTTAAACAGGCCTTAAAAATCCATCTCTTTTGGTTTCCAGCTGAGATACTAGTCTGAATCTAGAAACAATTTAATGTTAGTGTTGCTGGTGTTCAAACATTTCACTGTTTCAGTTAATGTTACACGAGTGCCCTGCTGCCATGTGAAACTTTTAAAACACCTATTTCAAATGATTAGATTTTTATTAGAATATGATTATGTAGTTTTACATGGTTTTTTTTAAGTTGTCAGCCACCAGCCTAAAAGATGGCCCAAGAGCACAGAAACACAGAGAGCTAGCTGCCTTATACAGAGTCAAACTAGCGGTCCATTTAGATCAGTAATGTTGGCACTGACTGACAGCATCTCTCTCCAGGGTTCCAGGCAGGAAGTCTTCCCCAACCTTACCTGGGGATTGATCTTGAGAGCTTTTGCTTTCACATATGCTTTATCACTGAGCCTCTGAACTATTTCAAGACAACAACCAACCAACCAAACTCTGGCAGATATTTCTCTGTCTGTGCTCCTAATGCAAATAAAATAAATCAATTATGCAGAACAATGTTTTATATCTTCCCAGGAAAAGATCAGCACCTGGGAACCTCATAAAGGACACCAATTCATAAGAGAGGGAGCAGTGGAATGTTATATGCCTACTCAAAAGTAAGCCCCATTGAGTACAATGGGAGTTGGTTATGTTTTTCTCGAACTGCACCCTTCACACATTGAGATCTTGCTTTTCCACTGGTGCTATTAAAAGTGGCCTACTGTTTTTAAAGGAAAGATTTATAAACAAAACAACCAATGAACAAACAATGAGCAAACTCAGGTGCTTTTCCCTTGTGGGCTTCTATATAACCGCAGACCTAGAATCTGGAAATACAAGAAGGCAATTGCAAAGTAGGTACAAATGCATTAAGGAGCATTGAGACAGTACACCCAAGAGAATACAGTGATGTTCTCTAGGTACTTAACTAATTTCAAGGGAAGTGGCAAGTAAACATCTCTAGCAAGAATGTTTATTATTAGTATTAGTATTGGAACGGGGAGGTTCTGCTCTTGATCTGCCCACCTAACCTCCAACCAGTGGAGGCTTGTCCATAAGGGCACCCAAGGGTGCTGCCCACCAGCCTCAGTCTGCCCTCAGCCATCCCCCAACTGCCTGCCTTCTCACATGCAACCAGTCCCGAAGGTGGCCCTGCCTGTCAGCTTTCTGCTCTGTTGCCCCTGCAGAACTCAGCAGGGAGGAGGATGGGGCCCACACTAGAAGCCATTTGCTCTGACTGTTATTGCCTCTGGCGCCACCTACTGTTCGGCTCCCTGCCTTCTGCCCTATCAGTCCCAATGGGCACTTGGGAACCAAACCAGGGCTTCTGATTATAATATTTCAACCAGATTTGTAGGAAAGAAGGGGGCCCTTTCATGAGAAGAAAGGCGTGTGGGTCAGAGGGAAAGTGATTGTGGAAAAGAGGAAACAAGGTGCATAGGAAGTTGCCAGACCACTGGCCCAGCTAGCCCTATACTGTCTACACTGACTGGCAGTTGACCTCCAGAGTTTCAGACAGGGTTCCCCTTGACCCCCAGTGGGAACCCTACCTGGAGTTGCCAGGAGATTGAACCTGGAACTGTCTGGATGCAAAGCAGATGCTCTTCCATTGAGCTACAACCCTTACCGTAGGATAGATTTGCGATTCCACAGCTGTGCCGCAGAAGCACAACATTTGCTCTGGAGAGTCATCTTCTCAGGACTTTTGGTTGTTTTAGGATTACACAGGCAGACTGAGTTGCCTGCCAGAGCAGAGGCGGCTATTGGTCTGCGTGGACCAATGATCTGACTTGGTATATAAAGCAGCTCCCTTATATGGGAAGTGTTTCCAGTTCCTGGGCAATGCAGTTTTCCTTGGTATCTTCCAACTCAAGAGACATCACTCCCGGTGGCGTTTTTACTAGACAGACAAACTCCAGAGAGGAAGCCTCAGTTTGTGTGTCGCAGCAAAGTCCAGCCGTTGAGTCTGACGAAACTTTTAAAAGGAAGAGGTTGATGGTGGCGTCACTGGCATGTGTGGGGTCACAGCCCACATTGTCAGAGGCAAAACGTAACCCCTCCTCATGTGAATACACAGCAGTCTAGAGCACAATCTACCCACTGAGTCCTAAGAAACAGGTTGCCCACCCAGAAGTGACCCAACGGGACATAGGAAGCTGAGTGGGATCATCAGCTCAGTATTGTCTGCAGCCAGGGTGGTTTAGTGGTTAGAGTGTTGGACTAGAAGCTGGGAGACCAGGGTTCAAATCCCCACTCAGCCATGAAACTCCCTGGGTGACCTTGGGTCAGTCACCATCTCCCAGCCTAAGCTCTACCTCCTCGCAGGGTTGTTGTTTGGATAAAGCGGGGAGGAAGAGAGCCATGTATCCCACTTTGAGCTCCTTGGAGAGAAAGGTGGGATATAAATACAGGTAACAAATAAATAAATTCCCAGACTGGCTTGCCATGGTTCCAGGCAGGGGATATTCCTTGCCCTACCTGGACAGAAGCTGGGAACTTCTGCACGCACAGAAGATGCTGAACCCCTGACCTATGGCTCTTCCCTGCGGTTATGACCTCTTCTCCAGATGTTTGCCCAACCTTGGGAGGTCTTCTAGCTGAACCTCCACCCATCACTGCAGGTCAGAAGAGCAGAAGGACCAGACCGAGTGCTCAAGTGGTATGAAGGCAACGCTTTAAGGGGGACGAAGAAGCTGACAGGCAGCGCCATCCCCTGGGCTGAGAGTAAGTAAGGAGGCAAGCAGGTGGGGGCTGGCTAAGGGAAGAAACTCAGGTTGGTGGGGCAAAGCCCCTTTTGCCCAAATGGACCAGCCTTTGCTGGGTATTTGACCTCTGCTTTCTTTTTTTAAAAAATAGTTCAAAGACCTTGTGCGCTGACTCTCATTCTTCTTTGCAGCTAGAGAGGCTTACACTCTGATGTTTGCACTAAGGGAAGCTCAATTGCTGCTCTCTTGTTTCTGCCTAGGGCAACTGCCTTTGAGCATAAGCAGAGCGCATTTTCTGATCCCACCCACCCACTCCAATCTGGGCTTAAAAAGGCACCTTCCAAGCCTGAGGAGTCCCCATCTCTGCTGCCCCAAAACTCAACACCTCCCTTTGTTGGATTTAGAAACAGAGGAAGAGTCTTATACCGAGCCAGATTATTGGTCCATTCAGCTCAGGATTGCCAACACTGTCTGGCAGCCTCTCTCCATGGTTTCAGGTAGGGGCTATTCCCAGACCTACCTGGAAATGCCAGGGACTGAACTCTAGATGCTCCTCTGCATGCTCTGAACACTGACCTATATGGCCCTTCCCCTGAAATTAACCAGAGGTGGATAAGTTGAGTCTGTGCCATGGATTCCTGGCACCAGCAGGGGCTTGGACTAAATGACCTCTGGGGGACCCCCTTCCACCTCTCAGATTCTAGGACTGCAAAGCAGCTCTGCTCCCTGGCCCTTCTAAAAAACAACAACCAGCCAACCCACAAACTTCTATTATTTAGCAGGGAGCCAGTGGGATCTCCATCTCCAGAAAGCGGCAGCTGCTCTGTATTCAGGTTTCCTAGGAAAATCCTCTCTCTCTCTCTCCCTCCCCAAACAGATCTCAATATGCACATCTTTCCCTCTCCGTCTCTCTCCCCCCCGCTTTCCGCCGCCTCGCTTTCCTTACCTGGGCAAAACGAGGAGGCGACAGCAGAAACTGGTGGCCACGACTCGGTGTCATCAATGGAAGGAGATGCCAAGGCAAGGAAGGGCGAACAGGTTGGGTCCTCGTCCCCTCTGGAGGGTTATCCAAACGCTCCCCTCCTCCGTGTCAGCCACAAACACCCGGCGGGCGGCGGCGGCGGCGGGGGGGTATTAAGGAGGGAGGCGGGAGGGAATGGAGGGGAAAGATCCCCTCCCGCCACCCCTGGCGCCCCCTTGCTGGGTTTTCTCCTCCTCTTCCTCCTGGATCTCCTTCAAAGCCTCCTGGCGCAGTGGACACACAAGGGCACCCGTCCCAAAGTTGCGGACTCCATGGTGGCTCTCTCGGCTGCTTCTCCCCGGGCCCCGTCCTCTTCCTCCTCCTCCTCTTGCGCCCTCTTGGCAAAGCTGGGGAGGTGATGGTGATGGAAATGGTGGGCGCCGGAGGTGGTTTGCAGCAGGCCCTGGCAGGTTAGAGGAGAAGCAGAGGCGAGCGAGGGAGCGAGCGAAGGCGTAAACACAGAATAACGTGACCGGAACTGGTGAGATCAGTCTGGGTTGGCTTGTACAGCAGCAGGAGCAGCAGGGAGAGGAGGAGGGAAGAGGAGGATGGCTCCACTTGACAACATCCAGCCGATGAAATCACCTCTCTGTGCCTCCCCCAGGGGACTCGGCCATGGCATTGGAGGCTGCTGATTCAGCACAGAGCCAGGGGAGAGTGGATGGAGACTGGGGTGGTGGTGGCAGAGACCCACCTGGGGAACAGAGGCGGAGACATCTATTTTAAGCCAGACCTCCTCCTCCTCCTCCTCCTCTTTCCCCCCTCCTTGCTTTTCCCTGCAGCTCTCTGAGATCCTAGAGCAGGAAGCGGAGCACCCCATCCGCCAATCGGGTACTTAGAGGAAGCTCACAGGCAGGAATTGAAGGTAATAGCTTTAGATCATTTGCTGGACTGCCAGCGGCTGAAATTCAGAGATATGCTGCTCTTCTCCATGGAGGTTCCATCTTCGGCCAGGCAGGCTGTTCTCGCGCAAAGCAGGGCTACAGCTGTTTATATATGAGTTACCTGAAATCATAGGAGCCTACTCCTAGGGGCTAAGGTCCCACTTGCCCCCCAATAAAATATTTTGGGGGGCACCCCCGATGCTGATGAACATTGCCATTCAAATGGTGTGTACGTGCTGCATCTTGTGATCGATTATGCAGGGTGGGGCTTACCTGCCCCCCATATTTTATTCAAGTTGGCACCTCTGTTTGAAATGGTCAAGTTCCAAGCAAAGGTGACTCGTACTTTGTCACTGGGTCCAAAGATGCAGCCAAACTGAGATGCTTTAAACTTAGTTTCATGGAATCATGGAATCATAGAGTTGGAAGGGACCCCGAGGATCATCTAGTCCAACCCCCTGCAATGCAGCTGTCGCATGCAGGGATCAAACCTGCAGCCTTGGTGTTATCAGCACCACGCTCTAACCAACTGAGCTATCCATTTTGCCAAAAAAGTTGGTTTGGTGCCCAAGCCTGAAAATAAGACGCAAACTACAATATGTTGGCTTTTAAATGCCCCACTTCTCTTTTAATGTTTACTGGGCACAAGGTTTCCAGAAAGAGGTAAGATTTTGAGTTGCACAGAAAGAAGAAAGCTCTGGGACATGAAAGCTTACATCATAAGCCACCATTCTCTCTCTCTCTCTCTCTCTCTCTCTCTCTCTCTCTCACACACACACACACCAATATACAGCTGTATCTGTAGAAATATAAAAGAGAATTCCAAATGATAGCTTTGTCAGTGTTTATATGCAGAAGCCCACCTTGGTATAGGGCTTAGACCAGCCTTTGCCAACCTAGCACCCTCCCAATGTCATTGGACTGCAACTCCCACCAGCCCCAGCAAGCATCGCCAGTGGTCAAGGAAGATGGGAGTTGTGGTCTGACAGCATCTGGTTGGAAGGGAGGATCACATGCACTGCTGTGAGTGTGGTGTGGTGCTTCAAAGGCCAACAGATTTATAGCAGCAGAAGCTTTCATAGGCTAGACTACAGTCCACTTAATCAGGCTAGCAGAGTAATCTCGCTGGGAAGGAGCTGACCATGGTGCTGAACTCCAGCAAATGCAGTACCCCATCCTTCTTCCCACACTGTCAGACCTTAGTAAAGCATGGTTGCTCATAAACACAAACATTGCCCATTGCTTCCCTCTTCCATATGTAAATTACATTTAGTAGTCCAAGGTCTAAATCTTGCTTACAATAAACAGTATTAACTTCTGGTCTGGATGGTAACTTTCTTTCTTTCTTTCTTTCTTTCTTTCTTTCTTTCTTTATCACTCGTAGCCGAGTAAGATTGTCTTCCATAAACACAGTATTGACAATGAATCCATAAGTGACTGTGGAGGCCAATTCTGGATCCACACGTCCTTCCACAGTGGGGACATTGGTTTCCGGGTGGGAGTTGATCATGGTGTGGATTTGCCAAGTGTGCCTTCCTCTTGGCACGTTTCTCCCTTGCATCCTGAGTTCGAGTGTCTCCAAAGCCCATGACACCTTTGGTAAAGGCTCTTCTCCAATTGGAGCACTTGCAGGCAAGTGTTTCCTAATTGTTGGTGTTTATACTAAATTTTTAAAAAGATTTGCCTTGAGAGAGTCTTTAAACCTCTTCTGTTGACCAACAGCTTTCCATTTTAAAGTCCAGAATAGAGTAGTTGCTTTGGAAGACAATAATCAGGCATCCACACAACATGACCAGTCCAACGAAGTTGATGTTGAAGAATCATTGCTTCAACACTGGTGATCTTTGCTTCTTTCAGTACACTGGTATTAGTTTGCCTGTCTTCCCAAGTGATGTGTAAAACTTTTCGGAGACACCGTTGATGGAATCTTTCGAGGAGTTGGAGATGGCGTTTATAAGTAGTCCATGTTTCACAAGCATACAGTAAGGTTGGTAGTACAATAGCTTTGTAAACAAGCATTTTGGTTTCTCTGTGAATGTCCCACTCGTCAAACACTCTGCACTTCAATCAGGAGAAAGGTGCACTTGCAGAGCTCAGGAGATGCTGGATTTCGGCATCAATGTCGGCCCTTGTGGAAAGATAACTGCCCAGGTAGAAGTGATTGGCATTTTCCAACGTTACACCATTGAGTTGGATTTGTGGTGCTGCAGAGGGGTTATTTTGTACTTGTTGGTGCAGCACTTTGGTTTTTTGGATGTTGAGTGAGTGGATGGTAACTGTGGAGCCCAGCTGTCCAGCTACTTTGTGGGTACCACACAATATATCAAATGCATGCACCAGGTAGGGCTTGGTGTTGGCACAGGCTGGGGTCAAAAATGTAACAGCAGGGATGGTTTTTACTTTATCATTTCCCCCAACTCCACACAAAAAAGGAGGGCTGTAGCCTTGGTAGCAGAGCACCTGCTTTGCTTGCAGAAGGTCCCAGGTTCAATCCCTGGCAAATCCAGGCAGAGATGTCCTAAGCCCTGCTCGTCAGTGTCAACAAAACTGAGCTAGATGGACCAATGGTCTGACTAGTATAAGGCATTTCCTAGGTTCTCATGTTCACATGGGAACAGGCAGTTCTAGAGGACCAGTAGATAAGATGCAGAGATATGTCCAAAAATGTTGCTTGCATATGGCCCCACCAGAGGGTTGTCTCCAGCTAAGTTCCACTCAGAATAGACCCATTGAAATGAATGGAACCAAGTTAGTTATACTCATGATTTTCAATGGGAAACAACCCAACATGGGATACAACCCAATGGGTGGTATTCAATGCTAGCCCTTCTCAGAGCACATCCACTTAAGTGAATAGGCATGACTATTAGACATGACTGCTTTGGTCCTGCTTATAGGTTTCCCACAGGCATCTGGGTGGGCCCTTTGAGAACAGGATGCTGGACTAGATGGGCCATTGGCCTGATCCAGCAGGCTGTTTTCATGACTAGGTAAAGGTAAAGGGACCCCTGGCCATTAGGTCCAGTCATAGCCGACTCTGGGGTTGCGGCACTCATCTCGCTTTATTGGCTGAGGGAGCTGGCGTACAGCTTCCAGGTCATGTGGCCAGCATGACTAAGCCGCTTCTGGCAAACCAGAGCAGCGCACGGAAACACCGTTTACCTTCCCGCCAGAGTGGTACCTATTTATCTACTTGCACTTTGACGTGCTTTCGAACTGCTAGGTTGGCAGGAGCAGGGACCGAACAACGGGAGCTCACTCCGTCGCGGGGATTCAAACTGCCGACCTTCTGATCGGTAAGTCCTAGGTTCTGTGGTTTAACCCACAGCGCCACCCGCGTCCCTTTCATGACTAACTTAGGTTCATTAATTTAATTGGGTCTACTCTCAGTTGTTGGCATCCATCTGTCTTGAGAGACAATGGTGTGTGCCTCTGGGGGTAAAGGCAAATCACTGCATTAGCAACACTCACCAGGGCACAAGCCTGGGCAGTGTGTATGGAGGTCCTGGGCTGCCCAGGTGACAAGACTCCCCTCTTGGCCTCGCTGATGTGGTCCAAAGGAAACCAGACCAATACATTTGGCACCAGCTTGGCTGCAGGAGTTGCCAAATGGAGGCATACAAAGATGTCATCCAACCATCTTAGGGACTCCACTCTGGATTTCTGAAGGGTTTACTCCTTCTAGGGTTTTGATTGTCTTCTAGGGCCAATGTTAGAAACTAGAGAAGAATATTCTGAAAAGTATTAGGCCTTTTTATTTCATTTCAAAGAGTTATCTGAGAAAGGTAACAGATACGGAGGCAATTGCAAATGAAGGTGAAGGGTTTGCCTATCGCTAGTAGTGTGTCAATACAAGTGGAATGTTAATGATCATGCTTTGACTGCCTTCAGTTTGCATTTCGTTGGAAAGAAGGAAAGAACGAAAAGCAGAAAAAAGCAGAAAAGCAGACATCACCAGAAGTCATGTTTATGTCGCATGAAATTTGAACTTCTGGCACAGATTATGAATAGCTGAAGCTCTGTGTTCTTAGGAGGTGTCTCTCAGCTCCTCTTTGTGAAAGCCTTCTGAAATTATATTTCACCAGAGCTAGTTGGACAAGGGACATATGATTTTTTTGAATAATTTATTTCACATAAGCTTCTTATTGACAATGAATAATTCAACCGGCTCTATTTAAAGCTTAAGAGCCATTTCTGCTAGACCCCTGTTAAGATAGTATGGCAAGTTAGAAGAAAGAGGTTGCTGCTGGAATATTCTCAACTGCCTGGTGAAGGCTTTAAAATGCCAACTGTTTCTGAAATCGCTTGAGTGGAGAAGTGGAGAAACACAAGCACCTTGCTGCTGCAACTTCAGATCTGCCACATTTGCGTGGGTTGAGAAAAGAGCACCTTACATTTCTGAACTCAGCATTTAGCTAGAAATGCATGAGTAGTTTTGTGAACCCAGACATCTGCGCCTCCATGTGCCTCTGTGGCGATGGATTTATGTTTCTTGAACAGCACTTTCCTCTGGAGCAGGAGTGGGGAACCTGCAGCCCTTCGGTTGTTGACAGACTCCTAACTCCCATCAGCCCCACCCAGCATGGCCAATGGTCAGGAATGATGGGAGTTGTAGTCCAGTAACAATTGGAGACGCCACAGGTTTCCCATCACAGCTGTTTTCTACTACAGTGGTACCTCGGGTTAAGAACTTAATTCATTCTGGAGGTCTGTTCTTAACCTGAAACTGTTCTTAATCTGAGGTACCGCTTTAGCTAATGGGGCCTCCTGCTGCCGCCGCGTGATTTCTGTTCTCATCCTGAAGCAAAGTTCTTAACCCGAGGTACTATTTCTGGGTTAGCAGAATCTGTAACCTGAAGCGTCTGTAACCTGAAGCATCTGTAACCCGAGGTACCACTGTATATGTTTTTGGGGAATGTGTATGCACATGGAAGAGCATGCATGAGAAAGCCTAGGCCTGCTTTGGCCACACACATCACTGGCATAAGGTCCCTGGAGGGATGGCCAAGGGCGGGGGGGGGTGTCTTTGGCCCTCCAGATGTTGCTGAACTGCAGCTGCCATGCTTGCCTGCCTTAAATCAACAGAGCCCCATGCAGTAACCTCAGTGACCCACCATCGTCTCCAGTAAAGACCTGTAAAATGATAAGCCTGTGAGTATGTCTGCAAGATATAGCATCCCGAGTGTATAGATGCATGTGAGCAGGACTAGTAAGAGCTGCCCTTTCAAGATGGACCTGGAAAACATCCACTGCCTTCTGCTTGCAAAGAGTCTCTAATCAAAGGTGCATTAGGGAACTTTAGACTCCAGACTTAATGGGCTTACAGCCTCCCTATCTCCAGATGATAGCGTGTATTTATTTAGTTTACAACACAATATAGAAAGCTAGTACATTTGGGGGTGGGGGTGTGTGATGGTGGTGGTTTCTCAACTTCTTCTGCAGAATGGGACCCCTGACTACTGCCTGGAAGCCCTGCTCCACCAGGGTCACCATCTCCATTGCAGATAAACGCCCTCTTTCTCCAGTGCCACAACCCATATGCACAAATCAATATTCAACCATCCAGACTTTGAGGGTGTCTATTCTTAGCTTATTATGTGCCTCGCCTGTTATGCTGCCTGCTCTTTCTGCCTCCAGCCCCTTCACCCCCACCCCCGGCAAAGCCCTAGCTGCTTCCTTCTTATTCTAGGAAACTATACATTTGTGCGAATGGAAGCGTGGGGTCCTGATCAAAAAGGGTCATCGTTTCTGCAGTGCATAGCCCTTTTGGCTTTCTTCATTGATTTCCTATTGCCTGAAACACACACACACAGCCCTCCATGCAACAACGAGACAGGGTTGCAGAAAGATCAAGGTCAGATATTCAGGGACAGACGGCTGTCTTCTTAAATGAGGTCATCGCTCCAGGATACAATCAGAGAGAAGAGAGTGGATGGGGTGAGGGGGGGGGGAGAAGAGGGAGGAGGAGCCATTGCATCACAGTCCTGCCACTCCTCCAGCTAAAGGTGAATGAGAAGCTGGCCATTGTCATCTGAGCTAGGGATAATTCCTGCAGCGTTTTGTGTTCTTGTTTCAAAACCTTCCACTTTAGCTGGACAGAACTCATGCCACAGAATCAGGGAAGCCAAAGCTGTGCTAAGTTGCCCATTCAGAGAGATCCCTATCAATACTCTGCAGGATCCTGGTGTGTTGAAGGCTACAATATGAATTCAACAAGTAACCTGGCAAAAGCAAGGCAGCCAGTTCAGGTAGCAGGTACTGGGGAATGTGTTTGTGTGTGTGGGGGGGGAGAGTAGTGGTGGCAACTCCTCTCCCTCTGGCCATTTCTACTTAGCCTAGTGGTAGCTGGTACCCCTTGGGACTGGTAGGACAGAAAGCTGGGAGGTCAACAGTAGATGGCGCCAGAGTTAATGACAGGTGGAGCCACCTCCCTGGGAGTTCTACAGAAGGCAACATTAGGGCTAAGGAGGAGGAAGGAGGCAGTGCCAATTTCCCCACCATGGACTGGTTGTAAGTAAGAAGGCTGGAAGATATGGATTGGCTGAAGGCAGAATGAGGTCCGTGGGGCTGAGTTTTATTCGCCCTAATAGATGGGCCTCCACTACCTAAGCTGATGGTCTTTCTCCTTGCAAGTAAGAGAGAGCTGTGCATGTGCTGTTCGGCTTTGCCCTGGGCCTACTAAGCTAGCCTGCTGCCCTTAGTGTGGGGTTTGCAAACCAAACCACAAATGCATGTTTTGCTAGACAAGCACAGGGCTAGTATGCAGAGAGTTCCTTCTCTGTGTAGTCACTTCCTTTGCCTCCTTTGGGCGGGAACTCTGTAACAAAGAAGAAAATCCTTTACTGTATATTTCCTTCTCCCTGTGAGGAGGACACAACATAAAACTTCTTTGGCTCTTTGGTTGGTTCAGAGGTACCAAGAGTGAATAGAAATTTTCCCTGAGTTTGAATAATACATGTTTTAAGGGTTTGCTGACGATATATAGTATCCCTGGACTCATCACTGATTGGTGTTGTACATTAAAACTGTTTTCTTTATGCGATACTGACCTCTGGTGACATAGAAGGGAATTACAAACTTCACTTTTCAAATCCTTGTAGTTAAACCTACCATAGATATACATTGGTACCTCGGGTTAAGAACTTAATTCGTTCTGGAGGTCTGTTCTTAACCTGAAACTGTTCTTAACCTGAAGCACCCCTTTAGCTAATGGGGCCTCCTACTGCTGCCATGCCGCCAGAGTACAATTTCTGTTCTCATCCTGAAGCAAAGTTCTTAACCTGAGGTAATATTTCTGGGTTAGCGGAGTCTGTAACCTGAAGCGTATGTAACCCGAGGTACCACTATATCTTTCAGGTGTGTGTGTGTGTGTTTGTGTGTGTGTGTGTGTGTGTGTTTATCCCACTTTTCAAACAATGTTAGAAGTGGCTTACATGAAAATAAAATATAATAACAATAAAAACACACTTTGAAATATCAGGTAGCATTAAACCAGCAAAGCACAAA